TTCTTCCACCACAAATATCAAATCTACAATTGGATGTTTAGAATCTGCTGAACGTTTTCTATATGTAGGGGTAGTTTATGCACCTCCACTGTCAGTTTCAGCCTTAATTCACAGAAATATGATGTCATTTTCTCCAAAGATTGCTCTGCACCACCAAACATGCTGTATTGTAACCTGTCACATCTTTCATGCATCTCTTTGATGACAGTTGGAAAGGAACTCAACACAACATAAAAACCTATGATTGACTTGTATCATTAATCTCACTTATAACTTATAACAAGAGGAAATAATCTGCCAAGTGGAATTAGATGGTTTGGTGGGAACATTTTGTACTTTCACACCAAATCTTGTACTTTCCCCTCCTGTACCCCGATGCATAAAGAAGAAGAAAAAAATATATATATATGGTTTAATTGTGCAATTATGAAGTCACTAATTTGGCAACTGTTCTGCTTATTGTTTTAGAAGTGGAGGAAAGTTCTTATCACAGCCAAACAGAATTACAACCACGGCACGAAACCTCTGCAGTAATGAGTACCATCTATTCGCATCGGCTGTTTTTGACCCTGTGGCTGGCATGAAGAATAATTAGATGTTATGCATTACATCATTTTGCTGGGAGTGGAACATTATATTTTGATCAGAAATTGATCCACTGGGGGTTCAGATGTTTCAGCTGTTTGCATTTAGACTCTGTTTTATGTTACTTTGTGCTACAATCATATTTCTCTGATTAATCTGGATTGCTTTGCAATTAAGAAACACAAAATAGTAATAATAATTGTGACCAAAGGAAATAAAGAAAGACAATAAAGAAAGAAAAACTAGGAATACTTTCTATGTTCATGAAAAGTAAGTTAATTGCAGGAAAGTGAGAATGTTTGGCTGTTGAATGATTCTCAGCTGATCTTCTAAACCATATGTAAACATTCCCAGAGCATAATGCAGCCACTTCCGTGTCTCACCATTGCAATGGTTTGTTCAAAATGTTGGTTTTCAACCCTACATAGCATTTTGTGTACAGGGCAAAAAGTTTTAAATTTATCTCATTTAAATAAAGTTTCTCCTTCCACATTTTCTTTCTCTTCTTACTTTCTTTTTGTTAAAAGGCCAGGATAATAGCTGATAGATAACAGCTCTGCAAGTTCCTGTGTTACCATTAGACTGTTGCTTTCTTGTAGGGTTAGTTGGTTTTATTTTAGGAGCTTCAGCATAAAAACGAAAGTAGTGTTTTCATTCCCTCCCTTCACGATTGTGCATGACTTGGTTTTGCTTTGTGAAAAATACCCAAAACTTGATGTCCTAACTGATTGCAACAGTTAGGATACGATTACAGTTAGTTGGAACTGGTTACAATCCTAACTAATTAATAGTTAGGATACCACTTGACATTCAAAACACTTAAAATCCTGTTTAGACTCTACCTGTCACGCCACATTTTGGTTTAATCTGGAATAAAAGCCACTTCACATTGATTTGATTTCCTTCCGACTGTTTCCTCTTGGTGGGATCATGAAAGGTTTGGCTGCTCTGGAATTTCCCTGAAAACATTTAACTCTTAAGAATCATTTCCCTTCATGCTAAGCATAATTGCTTCAAGTTTTATTTATTTACTTTCCGGTGTTGAGCATCAAAAACCCATGCCAGAACAATCAGAGTCCTCACAATGCTGGAGGTTTTCTTTTAGTCGCGTTTGCGACAAAAACCATCAGCAGGGTTTAATTGTAGCCCACTTTTACTTTGTCAGTGCTGCAGCAAGGCCAGAAATGTAATTTATCACAGAAAAGAGATGTAAGAAATCCCTCATGCCAAGTTTGGATGTGATTGGTGGAGATGTCACGCGTTGAGGCACTTTAATGCAGACAGGATTTTCTGTCGTTCTGGAGTTGGTTACTATTTAACTTTGTTATGGCTCATGTTTTGCAGCTGCATTAAGTGCCTTTGTGTGGTGACCGAAACTTTCAAAGGAAAGGGACAAAATGAAGGTCACTAATCACCTACTATTTTTCTAGTAAACACCGTTCGAGCGAAACATTTGCCTTTGTCAAAGAAGTGGAGACATAATTAATGATGCATTACCTGATTTATTTATGTTTGCGTAAAAGATCTCACAACTTGTTGACAACCAAATGCTGAAGAAGCTCCTTCAACTTTATGGTTCTGTCAGAATTCCAGATATTTCCTGATACTCACAAATCAAGCTGAGATTTGGCAGATTTAAAGCTCTACATGAATACTGAAGGACTAAAAGGCATTTCTTTCTAGAACATACAGCACCATCCCGCAGGTCAAATGAAAATAAATAAGTTCTTTGTTACTCACTTGTATGTTGGTTTTGTCTTATTTCAAATGTACTGAAATATTAGAACTTGAAACTAGATTACATTACTTGGTAAAATGTTGTGTTTTTGCAGTGTGTTCTCCTTTGTTTCCTATATTTTGAAGAGCAGAGTTAAATTGCTTTCTCTGTCTTATACTTCAGTGAAACTAAACATCATAGACACTCTGAACAACTTAAAGCAAAGTAGAAAATAAATATGATCATTTGAAATTACCTGGACATGGTGGAAATAAAACATTTCGATTTGAAATGAGTAGTTAGGGGTTTATTGATTTTGAAATTTGCTGATTTTATTTAAAAAATGTACAGAAATGAAAAGTTTTTCTCATGTTTTTAGTGTGAGGTTGTACTACTGCCAATACAAAGTGTTTAAGAGGCTCACAGTTAACTCACTTCTAAGAATCCCGCCACCTTTTTACATCGAGCCAACTTCCCAACCATGACGACATTTTCATACCTGAAGCAGGTGCAGAACAGAGTCCTCTTATGCTGCTGCTGAATTTTAAAGCTGCATGGGGCAATTTCCCTGTGCAGCTCCTCATCTCTGTTTGCATCTTCCAGCATATGAAGGACTCCTTTGTAACTATTCCTCTTACGGCCTATGCAGGAATATTTTGATACCATGATAGTTGAACAGATAGATTTTAATGCAGAGGAGTAGAAGGATGAGCTGACAGATGGTGATGTGAATCCTTGGTTTTTGTTTTTTTACTGTATTTATGACAACCATGATTGGAAACAGTAGGAGACATTTTCCCACAGCAAACCCCGTCCTCGTGTGTGGCTCATGTGGTTCGCTTGCAGCAGCAAGGTGCTTGCAACACCATGTAATCTTCTTCCCCGCTGGGATCAGTAAATAGAGGCCATATAGACCACAGGCTATCTGTTTTAGATAAAAATCTTTCCAAAAAGCTGCATTGAATTCAGCAAATCTGGTAGCTGGCTGGCTTGAACCCAATTTCTGCATGTGTTTCTGTTTCTGTGTACACAAGCGTGTTGCCCTGACAAGTGCCTGACTGGCAAATCGTTGGAGACGAACCGGAATTTAGCTTATCTCTAATGTTAGTGTGACAGTTTTTTCTGGTGAAAATTTGCATTGAGCCTTGATTGATTGAGCAGAAACGCAGTTCATTAAGGATGAAAATTAAGGATGCAGACAAACCCTGCAGCTCTCTTGACATGTTCAAACATTTGAACTTTGAAAATGTTTGTAATTTCTTTCCCGATCTGAAGGTCATAGGTGACTATAAGGTATTTTACTGATGTTCTGATGATTTTTTAAATTACTTTTTATCCCACAGGCTCCAAACTTTATGTTTCCTCATTATTGTACAAATATTCTTGCAGTTTGGCTGTGTTTACATAAAATAAAGATAAATTATATTTACAAAAATCACATTATAGATAAAGCATGAAAATAACATTCAATTTTCTGTCTGTTAAAGAAAGACACAATCTTTCATTTAAGATTTAAGATTATGAAATATGGTTACCTTAGTTTAAGGTGGAGTCCATTTTGGACTCTTGCAGGCTTGGCACCTAAACTCAGTTCAAACACAGCAGCTTTGTGCTGAATGAGGTCTCACTCATGCAAATATACATTTACAATTTAAATACCCTTGCTGTGTGGTCCTAGCAGTTTGTCTACAACTTCCCCCATCCTTTACTGGTTTCTGTCCTCTACCAGTCAAACGGTGACCCAGTTCATTGACATATTGTCTATCTGACAAATGTTTATAGAGAAACTTTTGTCCTTCAGTATTCATGTAGACAAAAAGAAGCACTTTTTTGTTGTGAAAATGTTGATGTATTAGCCCAAACTCTAATTTGATTCCAAAAGGACATATTTGTCACAATAACAACTCCTTGCAAAAACTCAAATTTTTACCAAGTATTTTTGGTCTAGTTTCTAGTATAAACATGTTATTGCACTTGAAATAAGACAAAACTAACTTCCAACTCTTCAGCAAGACATAGGAGCTTCTTTTAAGTCAATAATTCCTTAATATTGATGGAAATGCATATTATTTAATTTATAACAGGACATTTTTCCTATGTTGTAAGTGAAATAAACTCCCAATTATTGACCCAAAATCAGCTTTGTTTTCTTGCTGAAGTAATTTGAAAGTTGGTGTTATCTTACAACAGGACAAAACTAATTGACAGGTGACTGAGACCAATAAATATGAGTAAGATTTTATGTTTTTAAGGTATGGTGGATCACATATTCTTCAAGCTGCAGCAGTGAAACAAAGAAATATAAGCTATTGTGTTGGTAGGGCTTCCAATAAATAAGATAAAATACTGATTTCTGTTTGTCAAACTGTTTTAATTTTGAAATTTACTGGATTTACCTGAACAAATCATCATTGTGATAGATATTTTGCTGCTCGCTCAGGATGGTTTGCTCAAGATATTCAGAATGCAGTAGAGGCAATATGGCTGAAAAATGTATTGTGAGCATTTCATGTCGGTTGAAATCAATGATAATTGATTAGTGATGTCACCTTTCCTGTTTCATTTTCTCATTTTCTCCTTTTTCTCCTTGCTGCTTTTTATTTTTTAGGAGTTACGAAGCATAGTGGTCAAACCTGAAACTGCTGCTGCGCAAGTTACTCTAACAAGATGTTGCTAGGTAACCAAAGAGTGAGGAAGTTAGTTGTTTTTACCGACGTTGCTTAGCAGGCTGTCAGAGTTTGAGTTTGGCTTGTTTTCTGGATCAGAGATCTATTAATATTGATATCATGTTAATATCACAGTGTTTATTGTTTTTCATTTATTGCTCAACCCTGTATGACAGACATGTTTAACAGTCAAATGATTAGAAAACGAGCGGAGGTCAGACGAGTCGTCTTTTTCCCAGGAAAAGGGAGTTCACCCCGTCAAGCTGGCTCAGTCATTCGGTGATTATTCAGCCTTAATCCCATGAAAGTAAACTCTTTCGTGAGAGATTTTTACTGTAACCCTTTTTTGTTGTGCAGGTGGCGCACAAACTCATCCAAGCCTGATTATTTTTCAGTGACAACACCCTGAGTTTGATGAGGATAAAACCCCAGAATACCAAACTCCTCGATTGCAACTCGCTGACATGTCATCAGTTGAACATGAAACGGGACGGAAACCTCGCGGAGGTAGCGGCCCCGTGCTCGGCCGTTCGGCGTCTGGCCCAGAGGAGCAACATCTGCGGTGAAGTCACACCGAGGAGCCGGAGGTCGAAGTGACGAGCCGAGCTGTGGGAATTCCAGCTCACACACTTTGGCTGCGGAGAATATTGAGCAAAGTTCGTGTCCAAGAAGCAAAGCAGCCAGAAATCCAGTCACCAGTTTCTGATTCCAGAATTTTGTGTTTGGAATCTGATGTGGGTCAAAGAGGACTTGGAAAATATTTCCTACTTCAGCTTGTGCTTAAATAAATTTTACAGTATCAGCAGGATAATCTTCTTAACACCATACAGCTTCCAAGGGGTTTTAAGATGCTTATGCAAAAAAATTTATATTTAATAGTTCTTGGGAAAACATATTACCCTTAATTTTTAAGTGTCTAAAATTAAAAGTGGAGGGGGGGAAGGTTAGACAAAATAAAATTTTGAGGAAAAAATACAAGAACATTTTGAGAAAGTCAGATTTCTTTCCCCTAAGCCCTGAATGCTCTGGTGTTGTAATGAAAAATTCAAATCGAATCCCGTTAATTTTTTACATTAGCTCAGACAAAATTCATTTGAGACTTAACCGTTTCTCAGAGACACTTATATTTTACTCTGACTGAGCTATTTAGAAAATTCAGAACAGCAAATGTTAAATTGGTATCTCAAAATTTTTGCTGCTGCAACAAAAGTTGGCTCTTACAGTTTGTTTTCTGAAAACTGTTCAATAAAATCCCCCCAAAAAAGCTGCATTTTTAAATCAGAACAGTTTAAATTACAGTTAGTTGCCTTTTTCAAAAAGTTTTTTACAAGCCTCTTGAGTCCGATTAAACTCTACAGACATTTATCCATTTAGAGCTCATTATTACATTCTCCCTCTTTGCCACTTTTTCAGTGTTTTTCTCTTCACAACGCATTTTACACGCAGACAGGCACACGCCATGCGGTGAGTCTCATTTGCAGGAGCTTCCACTGCGCAGCATGTGTGCAGTGGTGCATGCTAATGCTTTCAAGGTGCCCAGAATGCATAACATGCAGAAGAACAGGCCATTGTTTCAGATGGGCTTCCTTATAAGGAGAACCAGGTGTGGTGAGGAGAGGTGATTGAGGATTCCTGGTCTGCTTGTTTAAAAGTAAAACAGCAGCTCCTGTTTAAACACTCAAGAGGAGAAAATAATCTGTAGCAGTTAATTTCGGAGAAGGTGATGAAATGGATTTGGACAGATGGAAACCTCTTCTTGGTTTACTGGATCAGACTGAGAGATCAGAGAGCAAGTTCCGGTGTGATCCAGGAAATGAGCTTGAACTTAAATATGTTGTGTTTCGTTCAAATATCCAGCTGCAATACTTATGCCAAACAAGGATTAAATCACTGATGAGTGAAAAACGAGCTGCAAGCTACGATTGGCTCCTGCTTTTTCTGTTGCCTCCAAAGTTGACAGATTTCACAAATCCTGTTTTTGGCGTTTTCGTTTGCCAAACTTTGCTTTTTACGTTTTCACTCAACGAAAAGTTGTATTATCATCGAATCTTTCAACCAGGTTGCTCACGAGCAAAGCGACGTAGCAATCATCAAGGTTAGCGCTCCGGTAAAATGTTTAATCATAGATTAAGTGGAACAATAATTTAGCGTCAATAGAAATAAAGGAGAACTTGGAGTAACACATTTATTATCAAGAACCTTTTAAAGCAAAACTTTAAAAGGTTTTTTTCACATATTTCCAAATTAAATTCTTAAATGGGAAGCTTAATATTTTGTGACATATTTAGCTTGCTAATTAGGTAGTGGGCTAAGTATTTAGCATCAAGATAAATATTTAGTTTTTGTAATTAAATGTTTAGTTTGAGACTGACATTTATAAATGAATGTGAAAGTACGACTTAATAAATAAGACATGAATTTTTTTCTCTTATGATAGAAAAAGTAACCCAAATAATTCCTTATAATTTTTGGCTGTGTGGCTTTACAGATGGAACCATCGACCCAAAAGCATCTGTCCTCTTTTATAATCACATTTTGTTTTTTTAAGTTTTGAATGACCAGCTGGAAACTGCGTCGTTTTCTGCTACCTTTACACTTTGAAGCATGCATGAATGCATGTTTCCCAGTCTGGAGTGAATGGCATCACTGGGTGAATCCCAGTAATGAGAAACTGCTAATACAAACTCCACTTCCTGCAGTCTGGAGTTTCTTTCAGACAGCAGCATTTTTCCAAGTAGCAGCTGCCAGTTTCCATGCAGCTTTCTGGTCTACCAGTTTGTTTTCTTCTGGGTCGAAGGTGGACGGTGATGACCTCTGAACTCTAGTGGAGGACAAATACTTTCTTTTCCCCCTCCACTTACACACTTTCCACCTCTTCTGTTTGTTTTGTGGCAGACCGGGGTTCTCAAAGCTCGTTGGATCTGACGGAGCTGATCGGCGTTCCCCTGCCCCCCTCCGTCTCCTTTGTCACCGGATTCGAGGGCTACCCGGCCTACAGCTTCGGCCCGGGTGCAAATGTGGGCCGCCTCACAAAGTCGTTCATCCCAGATCCGTTCCATCACGACTTCGCCATCACGGTGACGGCGAAACCAACCACCCGGCGCGGCGGTGTGCTTTTCGCCATCACAGACGCATATCAAAAAGTGAGGCGTTATCTGCAGCTGCTTTTCTATTACAAATGTGCAGAAAACCTTGTTGATCTGCTGCTAATGTTGGAAATCAACAGAAGTGGTGTTTCCAATAAATACAAGATTCAATTAAATTCACATGACAGGTCAATAGAAACCATGCTGAGACATTCTCCTACCACTTCCTGTCGTCTTCTCCATCATTTCCAACAGAAACAGGATCCGGTTGGGGTGCAAAAATTTTTTTGTTGCTATTTTGTGAAATTATACTGGTGATTTAGGGTTGTTGTAGATATAAAGTAGGACATTTCGACCAAAAAAAAAACTGAATTCTGAGATAAAAACAAGAAATTTTGGTGCCTGAAAAGTGAAAAAGAAAATGCTTGAAAAAACTCAGTTTTAAAATTAATCTCTGAAATTTTCTAGCAAAGGGCTTTTGCAAATTTTCAAAAATTTCTAGAAGTCAAAACCTTTATATTTCTGAGACTCAGAAATTTGCAGTTTCTTTAAAAATTTCAGTTTTTTGGCAGAAATTTACTCCTGCTTTTTTAGAAATGTTTCTACATTGTCCCTAGTATGGCATTGTAGGAAATACAACTAATTTTAGTGAAAAAAACATTTTTTTTATAAATTCTGCTTGATGTTTCCATTGAGTAGATTTGTTTTTGTAATTCCAACTTGCACAATGACACAGTTTGTGGAAACGCAGTTGTTACTTTATGATGACTCCTGTTTGCAACAATTGATCCATCAGTGACCATCTGTTTTGTTTGGTTTTTTTTGCTTTGGTTGCATTGATAAGATCGTGCAGCTTGGTGTCGCCCTGTCAGAGGTGGAAGACGGCGCCCAGAACGTCATATTGTACTACACCGACCCAGAAGCCAGAGGTGGGACCAGAGAGGCCGCCTCTTTCAAAATGGGGGAGCTGACAGGACGGTGGGCGAGGTTTACCCTGACTGTGCAAGGAGCAGAGGTGAGCAGGAGGGATTTGTGTCTCTTATAACCACACTCAGGATAAAAACTCACGTTCAAAAGTTTGTCCTGGTTTTTATATATCAAGTGGTATTTAGTTTCTCTCTTATTTCTTATGCCTGGACTGAATGTCAATATTTTCAGCATAGAACTTTGCAGCAAGCTGTAGGAGCTCATTTTAAGCAAATAACTCCTTGATACTGAAGAAAAGTACCAGTTTCGCTGGTACTTTTTTGTACATTATAGTCAAATTCAATCCAGTCTGATTGAATTTTGTATCACATTTTGACTGAATAAATGTAAGCATGTAGTTTGTCTTTAAATGTCTCTAGTTTTTCTGGTCATTTCTGTTGTCCTGTCCCTTTAGATCCGCCTCTACATGGACTGTGAGGAATACCACAAAGTGGCCTTCACGAGGAGCGCCCAACCCCTGACCTTTGAGTCCAGTTCCGGGATCTTTGTGGGGAATGCCGGTGGAACGGGTCTTCCTCGGTTTGTGGTGAGTCTCTTATTTATTGTGGAAATGTGCACAAGAGTGCAAAGTAAAGCTGCTTCCCATCCATCATTTTTAGTAACGGAGAGCCCTGTTCGAAGCCCCTGCTCTGTTTGTTCTTAGACGTGTTTGATAGGTGCTTATCCGGGTAGCTTCGCCCCTCGTTCCTGATGTCAGTGCGTTTGGATCAATGAGTTCACGGCGGTGACTGAATCCAGACCCAGAATGCAGACAGATGTGATGTTTGGGCGGTCGTCTCCGTTGCATTTTCTGATGTGAACACAGTCATCTTTGTTGGCAGCTTTACGGCCACCACAAGAGACCCCAGAATGAAAGACCACATGTGTCTGAGTGCTGTCTTCTCCGATGAGAACTCATAAATGGAAAGCTGTTTGTGATTTACAGGTTTGAAATATGGCTGAGCATCTCTCTGAGGCGTTGAATTGAACTGAATCACTGATAAATATGCTAGGATAGAAAGCCCAATCCCCCACAGTAGCTGTTAAAAATACTCAGGAGTTTAGCTGGTTGGAAGTGCAGGAGGTGGAATCAGCCTTCAGTGTTGTTGTAAGGACAATAAAACAATACATGTTCCAGGGATTTCCCGATAAAATGCATTATTAATGGGGAGAAATAATCTGAGGTGAACTGAATATCAGTAGTTTGTTTGTAGTTGGTGGTTTTTCTAGAACTTAATTATCTTTTATCAGAATCATTATCAAAATCAATAAACCTTCTGAAGATTAGATCATTTTTACACATTTTAAAAAATGTTGTCCTCAAACTGTCCATCCATTCTTACATCCTTCTTTCTTTCAATTCACATGTGTCAAACTCAAGGCCCACGGCCAAATGTGGCCCGCCGTAGCACTTTATGTGGCCCTTCAAACTCCAAATTACATCAATAAGTCCTTTCAGTTTTTCACAAATCTGCAAAATTTACACAAAATCAACAGATCCCTATAACTTTTCTGATTTTGCTCAAATTTTCTCAGAATTGGTTAAAATCTTTGGGTTTAAGTGACTGCTGCCTCAGCCTTACTTTATGTCAAGTGATAGTCTGTAATTGATACAGCGGATAATAAAAAGTCACATTTAACATCATACATTAGCGCAAATTTTGGAAACATTTCTTACAAACATTTCACCACAGAATCTTTCATTTTGATTGCAAAAAAAATTAAAACAATCACAAAATCTTGGATGAAC